CTTTGATGTGAGTTGTGAGAGTGTAGAATTCCTTCTCGTGGACTGTTTTGATCTTTTATATCACATAGTTGAAAGTGTGCACCTTAACTGGGTATGAGCAGTCCTTGTGATTCCCTGGAGATTGTTGTTTCAAAATAGATGGCCTCAGAGATAAAAATACACTGCACATATACTTGAACTGAACACTTTGGCACAAATTTATTTCATTTGTTGAGGTCACTTTAAATTTAGCAAGCTTGATTGATTATCCCACTGGATTGAGTAAGATACCTTGGATGAAAATCCTGGTGTGTTGTAAGTTTTACAGGAAGCGGTGTGATTCATTTTACTGCTATTGTGCCACAGGTTTATAAGACTTTATCTCACTGAATAAAACAAAACAAAAAAAAAAGTCTGTATCTTCAGACTCACTGTCTGATAAAAGGTGAAATGAAAACCCCAAACTGTCCAAAGTCGAAAGTAATCACATTTTCATGTCCTTTTGTGGCCAAAATATCATTAAAGCAAGCATACAGTGCTGTCCTGTTACTTTTATTCCCATCTGTAACTATAACTGGCAAGTTTCTGAATTCGGAGGAAAAACCGACTTCTGCCACAGGAAGCATTGCATTTCATAAAGTCTCAGGTTTTAATTTGCCCTTAGGGTTAACAACGAAGATATTTGTTCAGCGCAGGACTTCTGCCGTGCGTGGTTCCCATAAGCCAGCTTTTGCTGCATTCATGAAGTCAGCTGAGCATTAGTAAGGAAGATCACTGCATCATTCATTCACAAGCCGAGAAGGTGACTCATGCTTATAAGTATTTTCCTTGCTCCACCTCCTCTATTACAGCTCCTCCTCTCCACTCTTACGGTTAGTAGCCTACTATATTTAAACAGCTGTCCTAGAGCAGAGACAGGATTCAGTGCTTGTCATTTGGTTGGCTTTCCTGGCTGTACAGGCATTTTCGTAAAGATCCCACTTCTCATCAGACCTGCTATTAAAGGTAAGAAGGCTATAAGTAAACGTAAAGAGGGCTGTCTGGCACAGTGTAACATTGCTTTCCGAATATCACAGGGGTGTTTTTAGAAAAGGCATTATTATGTACCCTAAAGTTGAATTTTTTTCTGCACACTTTAATTGTGTGTTTGGGGTAACTGGCCTAGCATGTAAGAGTGGTAGTGCAAGTGGGAGGCAGGAGAAAGAAACTTCTGAAACTTGTAGGAAAGTATAAAATGTAAAAGCTAGTAAGATTTCTGCATTTTAAAAACTGTTGTTGAAATGAATGGGTTGATGAAGAAATGAAGAAAACTGTTCCATTTGTTCTGAAATTGTTCTTGTTTAAACCTGAGTCATGGTAGCTCTTTGATTCTCTTTCATTATTTATACACTCACTGCACTGCTCTCTTGAACTTTCCCCAGGTGCTGCACAAGCCACACTTGGTGGTTGTTACTTGGACAAAAGTCTCACTGATGTTTCAGGGAGAGCTGCTTGCACATGGCTGACGTAACCTGGCTTATTTCTGCTAAAGGTCGTTTAGTGTCATTGTCTTGCTAAGTGCATCTCTGCTTTTCCTGATACTCACTCAAAACTTGTTCTCAGCTGTGCAGCCTGGAACTACTCGGGGCCACACGACCGACTTTGTGAGTTATAGTCCCTCTAGGCTTAAAGCTGTGTTGGGAAGGTGTGCAGAGTTTGGCCCAGAGTGAGCTGGGTGCTTTTCCAAGCCTGACCAATTATGTAACATCACAGACACTGAAGGCATTTGGAAGCAGCAAGGAGATAAATTGCAAAGCTTGCAGCATGCTCCCAAATGAAGATGAGGGAAGAGACGCCCATTTAAAGTAGGAAGCCTAAAGCAGGAGCTGAAACAGGGATCAGTTTCACTCAGTTGGCTTAAGTGTGACTGCTCAGCAGCCTAGTCTACGTAAAAGGAAGGTGAGAAGAGCAGTCTTGGGTTTCTTGCTAGCTCAGGCTCTCTCCTGCTGATAACTAGTTCCTTCTAGATTTGAAATGAACTTTGATGTCCTGTATGTTTTCCAATAGCCTCTGCAAGAGCAGGCTTTCATCTTTACTACTGCTGTCAGGAGAAGTGAACATTTGTCCTGAAACCAAAATGCCTGAGATGCTCTAGCTATAAACATGTTCTGCATCTGAGTTTCTTTCTACTTAAAAAGAATTAATAACTATGAATTATAGAGATGGTGGCTATAGGATGTGAAAGGTGCTTCTCCAATTTGTAGAGACATGCTAGGATAAACAGAAGCGTCTCTGATGGCTAATCATGTGCTGATAAAATTGTAAGGTACCAAAACTGGAACTACGCAGTAAAATAGTCATTATGGGGTTTTGTGAGCCCAGATCTTGAATAAAACTGTGGCTAAAAATGGTCGTGTATGTGCTTGGAGCTACTAGGTTCACCAGACTAACAACTGTGCTCCTTCAGCCATTAAGGTTTGGTTTCATTTCAGCGAATGCTCCTTTTTCATGTGTTGGAAGGTACAGAACGGAGGAGGCAGAGGGTGAAATGAAGAGAGCATTATCGCTGAGCCTGTGGCTGCTGGCTTTGCCCTTTATCAGGGTGGTGTAGGGTGGCATAGTGCAATGGCCAGGTGCCAAGGCAACCCTCCTCTAAAGCAAACAAGACTGCCAGGCTGACTTCTGCCACCTCTTGCCTTTTTTATCCCCTTCAGGCTCCCCTAGAAAAATGCTGGCACACAATGGCATGACTTTACACCCAAGTCTTACAAATGGGCTTGCAGACTTGTTATTTATATGCTGGCTTTGCTGCTGTCCTGGAACTGTTGCCATGTGCTGCACTGGGTTGGTTCAGCAATCCTTGCTTCCAGCAAAAATCCCACGGATGTTGCTGGGTTACCAGTGTCTACAGAGTGCATACAGTCTTTCTGTGCGTGCTGCTGCAGAGCGCTATGGAGCAGAAACCTGGAAGATTGCTTCCAGAGATCTTGCTTCCCTCTTCCAGACTCCCAGTAGTTTCACAGAAATAAGACTTACATTCTGTGTTAGAAAAAATTAGGAAGAACAGGTCTTCCTGTGTAGTACAGCCATGGAGAGGGATTTCTTTGTGACTATGGAGAAGAAACCTCTGCTAATCTCCAGATAGATACTGTGGTTTAGCTGGTTTGAGAATACCTTACTGGTCCCACCGGTGTCCTGTTCCTTTGGTGTCTCCAGCCATCCCTGGTGCTAGTGCTGAATTCTACCAATTGCAACTCTGGAGCTTTGTGGTAGGGAGTCATCTGGGGGTAAACTTACACAATAATCTGCTGAAGGCAGTGCAGGTTTTGGTTCACGTGGTAGAACTTACCCAAAAGGCTGGAGAAATACTTGGGCTACAAGGCTGTGCTCCTGCAGCTGCCAGAGTTGAGTTAAGTAGGCCTTAAGGAGTTGTTGCCTGCCTTGGTATGGACACAACACACCGAAGTGTTCATCCTCTGTAGTGAACGCCCCTACCTTTGAGTCTCAAACTAGGTGCCCAAGTTTCCTTGAAATCCAACTCTCTTCAAAGCTAGATGCTTGAAATGTCTTCAGTGAGAAAGCACAACTATTGTGTCTTTTAAATGGCTCTTGCCCTGTCGCGCAAAATGCATGAGAGCCTTAGACTATAGGCAGCCAGTAAGTGTTACTAACCTGTGATCCAGAAATGTGACAGAGCGGCTAGCTTTGAAGTCAGCTTGTCAGCATTATGTGCCTCGGGTGAACCAAACCAAATCCTCCTAGAATCACTCTGTCTAATCCAGCACTGGGTGTGTGTTGGTGTATGTGGGAATTGTCACATCCTTGCGGGCAAATGCACTTACAAGACTCCTCCTGAAGCCTGGGATTCTGCAAATCCTAAACTCACTGCTGGCTTTCTGGCTGAGCATTCCATCACCAGGGTCTTACTGCATTGTTTTAGTTGCTGGTGATGTAAATGTCAGGCTTAAAGCGGGGCATTACGCTTGTAGGATAACATTTGCTGCAATACCTGTGTCAAAGGCAGTGATGTGCCAGACCTTATGGAAGCGTGCAGCGTGCTTGCCAAAGATCTTTCTGTGCTTGAAAAGGGTGTGGAGAGCATGCTCTCCTGAAGAAAATCGTGCCGTTCAGTGGATTTTTACTTAACTTCCCGAAAAGGCAGTGATGTGTTCTCTGTAGAATAGTTTAAAAGCTTATGACGACTCTCAAAAATCTTACCTTTATTGTGGTAAAAATAACGTCTCTAGACTAGTCACAGTATAGTTGAATTCCTTGGAAAACTAAAGAAGTCATTATCTGACATAGTAGGATTCCTGCAGGAATGGCAAAAAAAAAAGGATTCTCTGTTCATTGACGTATCTGCATAATGATTAGATTTTGTAGATTCCACTCTAATGACACCTTAGTCTCCAAGATAATTATGATGTATATTTTGTTTAAAGGCTTGTTATTTACTTATTCAGACCTAGAACTCTATTTTCTGTAAAATTAAGAAAGAAGTTTCAGGAACGAAACTAGCACTTCTCAAAAAAACCTCTAGTGATGGAATGATATGTATTTGAAAATGCAGCCAAGAGATTTCCCGCCCTTGGGCAGAAGTCTTGAGTGAGATTTGCTCTGCTTACCAGTAAAGGCACAAGTTGCTTTAAAAAGTACAAAGTGTTCATGGTAATTATGACAATTTTCTACATAATATGGGCAGAAGTGAAATTTTCATTAACAAGCTGCAGCACTTCAGTTGGAGAGTTACTGAAGTTGCTATCTGTTCTGGAGGGACTGGAATTCATGTGTGGAAGAGAAAGATAAGGGTTCTCTCCCTTTGTTGTGACGTATAATCAAGGAATCATCCTTTGGTTTCGGGAGCAGGAGGAGGAGGAGATAAGTAGGTCTCCCTTGACTGTGAAAGTGTAATGTGATGGTCTGCAACGCAAGGATAATATTTCAGATCAACTTGGGTTTGGGGGCTGCAGAAAGTAATGTGTGTTTTTTTTTCTTAATCAAAAAAAAGAACAAAACCAAATAATGCAAAACTTGTTTTAACAGGTAGACTACAGGACCTAAATGCTTCCAGACGGGAAGATGTATTCATTATTGACCAGACCCCAGAACAAGGTTGGGTTCAAGCCACTGCCTGTTGTGATCATAGGTAAGCTTTCTCCTGCCAGCATTACTGTGTTCTCATGTGCGTTTGCTGCTTTAGTCTTGCTGTCTTCAGCTTTTGTTCCATGTGTTCTTACTCAAACCAGAAATGCATGGCCACTATTTCTGTGTCCTTTCACTGACAGCCAAGCTTTCTCTAGTACTAAGAGAAAGACCAGTAAGAGTTGTGGAAGCTAGAGAACCAGGTATTTGACAAACTAAACACAGTTTTCACAGATATATTTTAAAATGCAAGTCGGTCACACTGATTTCGTATCAATTTAACAGAACTATGAAAAGCTGTGGGTTTTCTACCAGTTTAGAAAACGGGACATACAGTAACTGTCTTGTCTCCCTTGCGAGAGGGGAGCTTTCTAATGTGAGGTGATTCTTGGAGCAAAGCACAGAGGGATGTCAGTGCCTTCCCCTCTGACTGATCATGAGCTGTGCTTGAGTGCAGGTGTTGGACCCTGTTCATCTGAGCATGTGTTCAAATGCCTTGTAGTGCTGGGTTCATTTCATGTTTGTCACTTGATTTATAGCACCCAAGAGAACTAGTCCAAAGTCTGTGCACCACATAAATCATGCTTAATCCTTGCTAACAGCAAGTTTGACAAGGGTGCTACTACCAGCAGGTTCTAATCTGAGAGTGACTTTATGCTGCCTAGTTGTACGAGTGTGTAGGTGGGAGGGAGGATATTTTTGGTACATCCCTAGTGCATCGTACAGGGATCCGGTGTGGAGATGTCACAAAATCCTCAGAAGCACCAGTGTGAAGCTGTGCACTCAGAGGAGGCGGCTGGACTGAAGCAGCTCCTCTGCTTCACTGCAGCTGGATGTTGCACGCAGGTTCTAGCTGCTTCCTTAGGCCCCGTTCCAGAAGGGCTGTGGCCTCCCTCCGCTGTCCTGGCAGCCTCATGAAAGCAGTTGCTTTCCAGAGTAGTTTGAGGCCCAGCGGCAGCTGTACTTGTGACCATTCATATCAAACTTTATGTGGTTCAGAATAACTCCTCCTTTGTGTGTTACTGACTGGTATGTACTCAAGCCAAACTTAATCACCTAGGTACCTTCTTGTACTTCCTAAAGCAAAGTGGTAATCTGAAAGGTGTTATAGCTACAGTTTAGTTTGCTTTTAACTTCTGTTACTGTTTGGTTTTGGCAAACTTTCCTGCAAGTAGAGTATTGGGAGCACTGACCTGCAGCTGCTGGTCTTTGTTCAGCACAGCAGACTTTGGCCCCAGCTGGGTGTGAGCTGCCCTTCACATAGCTCGGCTCACTGTTAGCTCTGCAGCCTGAGCTTACCTCTCCCAAATCTTCAAGAAGCAGCCTTTGCTCCAGTCACTCACACATACAGCACGGGCACGGTGTCAACACAGGCTACCGTGTCACTTCTGCTCTCCTCCTCTACACCTTCACCACATTTTGTAGTGGTGGTTAGTCACATACTAGTGAGCAGCCAGAGAAGCTGACACCTACTTATGCAGACACTGTAAAATATTAAACATGCTGGACAGCAGCCATGTGAAAACTTTCCATGGGCTATTCTCACTGGGCTTTGAAGTCACATATATCAGGATATAGCAGGAAGAGTTCAGTCATGCAACAATCTGTTCAAAGTGCTGTATTCTGGGGAGGTTGCCTTGGCATTGCAGAGAGACCTTTTTTGTTTAATGCACTGCCTGCAGTGCCATGGTAGGCCTGGTTCCCATTTGGAAGTATCCTCAGGACCCATTAGTCAAAACTGCAATAGCCAAATATCCCTTATTAGACAGGATTTCTTACTGAAGAGGGCTGTTCCCCCTTCACTTCAATAGTCGCTCTTTTCTGGGCTTATTCTGTATCCTGCACACAATGAACTACTCTGTACTGGTGTGAAACATGTGTCCAGGAGAGCTGGGACCCCCACTCAGTATGTGACTGGTTTCCAAACCTTTAAAGAAGTTAATGAGCAGTAACTCAGTTCATCAGCATGCTAGAGATTTCAAGTGTCAGGTGAGGTTAACCTTTGGCTTGTTTAACCCAGTATCTTTTCAGCAAGTCCTAAAGACCTTGCAATGCAAATAGACTCAACTGAGGAGAGGAAGGGGACATTTATGGATATTAGAAATGTTCCTCAAAGGGCTGCTCTGTCTGCAGATATATAAATTCTTCTCCATTGTGTCTTTTTAGGGAATGGACCTTCAGGAATCTGCCTGTCGTATTTGCTGTCTGGCCACATCCCTTACTTCAAAAGAGACTCTATTCATCCTCATCCCATTCTTCAGAGGAAACTGGAAGAGGCACCAGATGTCTCCATTTTGGACCAGGTTTGTGGAAGGAGAGACAGTATAACATCACAGTAAAACATCCTAGGGTTATATTATAAGTGAGAACCTCATCTGAATTTTTGAAGTACAGAGACAGAATGAGCCTTAAGCAAAGCAGTTGTCCAGATCTCCCTTGTATGAAATGACTGCATTGCTGCTAAGATCTTTGAGGTATTCCTCAGGCAGTAACGGAGTCTGTAGGCCAGTAAAGGAGTTTGACAGAACACCAAAACCCTGGATGGAGTAACAAGCAGTCTGCCTGGCAGGACATGCATTTTCAGCATCTGATCTGCCTCTTTTTAGGATTTGGAGTATCTGTCTGAAGGATTGGAGGGACGATCCGACAGCCCTGTGGCTCTTCTGTTTGATACTCTTCAGCGTCCAGACACAGACTTTTGTGGAACAGCAGAATCTGTCCTCACTTGGTGGCATGAGACTGACAGAGCCATCCCCCACCTGGTCCTTGGCAAAAATGCTCCTGGAGGTGCCTGGCATGTATGTGAATTGAAGCCTAACTGCTTAGATATGCATGTTGTAAGATGGTCAAATGCCATATGGAAACATGACAAAACTGCATTTCACTTCTTAGATTAAATAACTGTAATTCATTTTGCTGTATTTCTTCCAGTCTATCGAGGGCTCTATGTTTACCCTGAGCAAAGGGGAATGGATGGGACTCCCAGATCTTCCCTTTAAAGACTGGCTAAAGCAAAAGAGAAGGTAAGATGTGTATGGTGTGATTTTTTTTGGTAAACATCAGGAGATTATTTGGGGACCTGGAGTGGACTTCCTGAATGTAGCTCTCCATCTGTTGTGGATGATCCTAGTGAGAGAAGGGACACTCTGCCTCCCCTCAGTAGAAGTCCATTCTGTATCTGATGATTCACGTAAAGTTGCGGTGCTGCTTGGGATGTGTCCTCGACACCCACTGTGGAGTGGATAACAGTGACCAAGAGTTCTGAATAAAGCTTAGAAGAGGCACAGTCATCTGACTTGTGTGTCTACTGCTGCTGTCCCTAACGACAAGTAAGATCAGCTCAGCTGCTGTGCAGCCTCTGTGGTGCTTCTGCTCTTGACATATGTAACAATATTTAAAAACCCGGGAGTTAGAAATATAATGGAAGCAAGATTTGTGAGGAAAACATAAATGAGCAAGGATGTTCTTAGGGATGGGCTTCTTGCTAGGCAAAGCTGCCTAAGTTCAACAGCTTGTGAACCTGAATGTTAGCTCTGTAGGCCAGGAATAACTTTGCTGAAGTCAGGAAAACTAGGTAAATCTTCTCTAGTAATGCCAGGATAGGTGGCTTTAGGATGCATTCAGTGCAAGAGGGGAGAAGTTGCAGTCTCTTACTTAACTGCTGCTTGAACTTTGTTCATGCTATATTACAGAGGCCTCAGAAACAATAGAGCCACAGCAGAAGACATTGCTCAATATTACCAACACTATGTGATGAAGAAAGGACTGCAGAAGAATTTCAGCTGTGGTACTGTTGTGACCTCTGTGAGAAAAGTGAGTGCAGAGAATGTCTCCAAGCACGCGCAGGAAGATCTGCAGGAGCATAGTGACTTACGCTGGAACTTTGATGAGGAAAGCACACAGGTCTTCCAGGTGGATGGATTTTTCAGAACTGAGAAAGGTGATAAAGAGCCCTTCTCTGTCTATGCAGAGAATGTGGTCTTAGCTACAGGAACATACGACAGTCCTACTTGGCTTGGGGTCAAGGGAGAGAACCTCTCCTACGTTCATCACCAGCTGTCTGCCCTGGAGGAAGCAGTGAAGAACAACAACATTGGCATAATGTCAGATCCAGTCTTGATTGTAGGCGCTGGCCTGACGGCAGCTGATGCGATTCTCTTTGCTCACCATTGCAATGTTCCAGTAGTCCATGTTTTTCGGAGACAAGTCAGTGATCCAGGTCTGATTTTTAACCAGCTTCCCAAAATGATGTACCCCGAATACCACAAAGTCCATCAGATGATGAAAGAACAGTCAGCTGCTTGTGCTGGGCCCTATGAGTGTTATGTTAGCCTTCCCGAACATCATGTGTTATCTTTTGGCAATGACAAGAAATGTATCTTGCAAGACAAGAATGGCTACCAGAAAGCTTATAAAATTTCCATGGCTCTTGTTCTAACTGGCTCAAACCCTAACCTCTCCTTTCTGCCAAATAACGGCATTGACTTGGCAGTGGACAGTGACCAGCCAGTCCATCCGAAGAGGAATCCCATAGATGTTGACCCATTCACCTACGAATGCACTCAGCAGAAAGGGCTCTATGCTCTGGGACCTCTAGCTGGAGATAATTTTGTGCGCTTTGTACAGGGGGGGGCTCTGGCTGTTGCCAGCTCTCTGTTAAAGAAAGCAAACAAAAATCCCCCCTAACAGAAATCCCTCTGCTGACTGTCTGAATGGGTTACTGCTGCTTTAGAGAAGGAAGTCATCTGATTTGAACATCCTCAAACGTAAAGCCCACTTCTGCTATTCTGCAAGGTTATGCAGAAAGTTACGAAGTTCTTGCCCAGTTATTTGAAAAGATTAAGTCACCAAATCCACACGTGGCAGTACCTTCAGTCCCTGGATAGCTTCCCTGCATAGCTGCACGTGAAGGCTGCAGGGCCTTTGAATCTGGTGCCTGCAGAAGTAGGGGGCAAGTAGTGATTGCTCTTCTATTTAACACCTTCCAGGCTGCTGAAAACTGACTTGGGGAACAATCGATGTTAATTATTTCCAGACAGCAACCCTGTGTCTGTCAGTGTCTTAGTGTTTTATTTATGAAACAAAGTAAGGTGATGTGGTTTTATTTTCTTCTGTGGCTCAGCTGTGTGTTCTTATTAGACCTGAAATCACTGAAAGGTGCTGCAGGTACCTCTCTGACACATGGAGTGGTACTCTGCAAATAAAAACTGGCACAGAAGCAGGCAAAACTATATTGTCTCCCTGACACCAGCAACAAGTAATATGCAATATCTTTTTAATCAAGAGATTCTTCTGATGACTTTTTCTCCTTTTTGAGAAGGAATGGTACCAATTTACAGATGCTTGCTTTGCTGTCTTGCAGCTTTCTATTTTCTAAATCCTAACACTGCGATGGCCAAAATCTTGGCAGCTGCTGTAGAGACAGCAGAGCTAAAGAGGAGCTACTGCTCTGTCTTGTAACTGCCCAGGTGCTGTATGGGGTTTCTGCTACAGGGAGTATTTCAGAAAGATGCAATATGTTGTATGTTGTGTAAATTTCTAATGTCACGTGGGTTGTTCTTTTTTTAAAGAGTACTAGTTGTATTAGGGGGGAAATTGGCACAGTCACTTTTTGATAGTTTTATGCTATATATAGCAAACTTTTTATACTGGTTTTTCTAAAATATTTTTATTGGCAAAATACTGTTATAGGATTTCATTCAGTGTTTTGAATGAGTTGGAGTGGATGGGAATGATGCTTTAGGTTGCAATTAGCTTTCTCAACAGTCCTACAGGGCCTTTCATACCTCTCAGGAAAAATCAGAGTCATAGTCAGTCATATTTGATGCAAAGACAGACTCTGCTCCCTGTGCTGCACTGAAATTCACTGACATGAGAGCATGCTGCATGTGTCTCTGGAAAGCTGACTATATGGAGACAGTGGCGGTGTGTAAATGAATTGGCCTCAGGCTGAGATGTGTAAGGAGTTTGTCTGTGGAGTTGCTGTGTAACACTTGAAAAATTTTGCCACTGACTATTCTTGTATGAAATTTTTCAATAAAGTTATTTCACACTTAGTCTGTGTTTTTGGTTTTTATCTCTGGGGTTTGAATCTCTGAAGATCAGAGGATGTGGTTTGTGGCAGCTAAGTTCTGCATCTTTCTGCTCCCTAGGAGCACAATGCTGTGAGTTTGCTTTCTGTGCATCTTCCTCTCCGGTAGGATGGAGGACCCTTGTAGAGTGCCTTAGCTGCTCTGTTTCGTGTGAGGCTGAAACACAATATCAAACCAAGCTATTCACCAAGCATGTTTTTGCCTAGAGGGATCTTAGATCTTTCCTGTTGCTGTTTTCTTCTCTCTGGAAAAATTCAAATCAGGACCTACTCTAGTAAATCAGTTAGTTTGGATCACAAGGGACAGTTGAAGGTCTCTGGTTCAACCCCACTAAAACAGAGCAGGCTTTGAAGTTAGACCTATTTGCTCAGTGCCTTGCTGGGGAAAGCTCTGACTATCTCCCAGTGTGGAGATTGCGCTATCAACCCTTGATTGCCCCAATTCAGCACTTGACCACCTTTGTTAAGAATTGTGGATATTTTCTTAATTACTTGGAAGTGCCATTATTGCAGCTTATCTACTGCCTCTTGGTTTGTTTGGTTGTGTTTTTCTTGTGGTGGGTTTTTTGGTTGTTGGGTTTGCTTTTTTTTGTTTTTCTCCCCACTACACAGCTCTGAAAAGAATACGTGGAGGAGTTTCCTGATGTGGGTAACTGCTCCCAGAGCTCACTGACAGCATTGTTCTAAATGAGCTGGTAGTTGTTCCCCTGAAACTGTTATCCTCGCAATACGGGGATTCCTGAGCATGGATAATGTGGTCCTGTGCCATCTTCCCCGGTTTTGGTATTTCCAAGGAGAGATGAGCTGCCTTATGCTCCTCTTAGGAACTTGGGTCCCCAGCAGTGTATGATTGTGCTGTTCCTCTCTTGCAGCTGACCTTTTCTACAAAAACATTGGTGATCAATGTTCAGCTTTCTAAAAATACTAGTTTTGGGGTAGGTCTCAAATTCTTGCATTGAAAGCAAATGGAGGGAAGCCAAAGGGCATATTAAAAAAAAAAAAAAAAAAAGCAAAGGGCACTGGAGTGTGCTGGGAATAAGGGCATAGGCTTGGTGTCGAGTGAAGTGCTGCTGTTCCCGTCACTGAGGTCCAAGTCATAGCACTTGCACCGATCATTCCCGTGCCCTATATTGCGTTACAGTAACCTAATTTGCCTTGCACCGAGGAGCTCCTGACTAGAGCAGCAGCCTGTGCCGGTGTCAAGGGAGCTCGGGTGACCGCATTTTAAATAGCCAGCTTTCTTGCCCAAGAGGGATGAGCTGCCTTGTGTAGGGAAAGGGAAGCGGAAAGTGGAAAGGGAAATGTTCTTTGCAAAAGTGATGCTTAGAAACTACCTTACATTCTGCCTGGAGGAATGTTAAAGCAGAGGATCTCAATAGCAGGAGGGGTGGTTTACTCACCAACAAGTCATCAGGGCAAGGCTGTGCGGTGCTCGTCCAAGTTGTCATTCGGCTCTCTGTAGCCGGAGGGGCAACTATGAATTATTGTTCCAAAACAATCAGCCGTGGGAGTCAACAAATACAGCAGCTTTCTGTGTGGGATTCACTTTTGCATTTTAACCTTGACCTACAGCTTGTGGTAAGGATCAGGAGAAAAGAAATAGTCTTCTCCTGGGCCTCCTGCACACCACACTGCTGGTGTGAGTGACTCAGTGTTTTTTATCACTGTTTCCATTGCCAAATGGGAGGCCAGCAGGTTCCCTTGGTGAGATAGCTGGCTATTTAAAATTGGCCACTGCTCTGCTTTGTTTCTTTGTCCCCTGCAAGTCCTTTGGTGTCCTCTCCAGGCTGCCCAGTGGGAACCTTCTGCAGCCGCAGTGACCAGAGCAGGTCAGTCTGGGAAGCGTCAGGCAACTCCCTGCTCTGCTCCATTTGGCTAGAGCAGGGGTTTAAGTGGTGTTTTGTTATTTTTAATTCAGACCTCTGGCTGTCACTAAGAGGTAATACTCATCACTCAACAAGACTCTGTGTCAGGCACCCATTTGCTGTCCTTCAGAGCTCCTCAGCCTCCTTTGGTTTCTTCCCTGAACTGTCAGTCCCCAGTTTATGTCACTGCAGAACAGGCTCCTGAGACCTGCTGGCACTTGCCAGAAGCCGTGAAAAATTATGCACCCAGGATGGAAACAAGGATTTGAAATTTACCCACAAGACCGAAAAAAAGAATTGTGGACTTTTGATTGTACTATGCTAGTGAGTCCTTGTAGTCAGGGCTGATATGTTTTAAATAAACACGCTTGCAGGTGTGGCAGAACCAACTCTACAAGTCTAAACTCAGGTACCTTCTATTATGCAATTAATGTACAAGCTTACTGCCGCTACTTTTTGCTTTGGTGAAGGACTTACGAGATGTCAGAGCATGTTCGTTGTGAGCTTGGGCTTCTGAAATGGAAGGAAGGGTACCCTCTTTTTAAAAAGGGCTATCTTTTATGTATCACCTGGGTTGAAATTATTTCAGTAAAATAGCCTTGGAAGCCCCTTTGGTTGTTGAGCTTTCACTTTTTTTGGCCACACTTCTGTCTTTGAGCACAGGACTAAATCCAGCCTCATCTTCGCCAGACCACTCCAATTATAAAGATCTACAGAGCATTATGATACATTGCAAACCCACTGATTGCCTAAGTCTTAGCTTTGTAAGGACCCTTAGGGAGCTGTGAGACTGTTGCAGCCTGTTGTGGCTTAGATCGACCTTTATTTGTGAAACACGGCTGTTTGCGGGCAGGCCAGCAGCCAGCGCATCACTGCTAACCGACAGCTCCTGAGGTTGTGCTAAGCTGCTTATAACTGAGAGGCTCCTGCGGGGTGAATGGTGTGGGGGTGGTCTTTCCAGCAGAAGGAGTTTCAAGCTGGAACCAAGACTGGAGGCTCCAGGGAAAAACCTTTCCAGAGCTCTGAAGCAAGCCGTGAGGGTTGAAGCAAGCTCCTGGCTAGAGAGTGGTTAAGTGGGGACTAAGGAAAGGGAGTGCAAATTTTGTTGCTGGTGTTGGCCTCCTGCCAGAGCCTGGAAAGCTGCATGGATCTGCCGTCCCTGGGGACCAAGCCCCGAGGGCTGGGAAAAAAACCTGGGTCCTCTGCTGTGCAGCTCAGAGATTCTGCCTTGGTGTGGGAAAGAAATATCTCGTGGCATTTCTGCCATTGGCCACATGAATGTGCCCTTCTGCTCCACATGGGCACCCGTATTACAAAGCTTGGCTCAGAGAAGCAGGACCTACTAATATATCCATTTCTAGGAACCTGCCTGAGAAGGAGCAGAGCTCCCATGAGCTTTCTGTGAAGGAAGCAGAATGGATATTGTTTTCCAGCCCAGCTTTTTCTGGTTGCATTTGTTTCTTGGAAGCGCTACTGACGGTTCTACTTGATTTTACGACTATGCTGAAGCAAGCTAGAAAAGAGGGAGAGGAGGGGAATCCCAAGCCAGGCAGCACGCATGGACAGCCAGTGTGGCCCTTCTCTGTAACTGGTGTCATCGCAAGCCACAAAACCTGATTTGGATGCTGAAAGCCCTGTTTTATTTCAGCTGTTTCCCCCTCAGGTGAATTTCCACATCTAGGTCTCACTGGAAGTGAAGGGACTGCAGAAATAACCCCAGGAACCACCTTTACAGACCAGGACACCGCTGCAAAGTGCTGCAGTCCCCGTGGCAGCGGCTGAGCCAGGGTGTTTGGGTACAGCCCAGCTATGTCTAGGGGTGGACAGAGCTGGTTTGGCCACGGTGTCAGACCAGAGCCAGGTGGGAGGGGGTT